ATGCTTGGCATGTGGAAAGAGCTATATTCAGAGCTCCTGATAAGAAGGCATGAGGAGCTCATTGAGTTTTGTGCTGGTTGTCACTTTAAAGAATAAGCAACAAAATGCTGAAAACCGAGACAAAAGAGAAAAATGAAGTGTAGTTTGAAGTACCATTTGTGACGTGTTTTACTTCTATCGTTAATTAGCCGAGAGATATCACAAAATAAACGTGGAACTATCTGCTAAAAAATTGAAAATAAACACATATATTTTGCAATAGGCACTTTTTCAAAATTAGTGTAAAAATAGAAAAGGATGGATGTTCTAAGGCTAAATGATGAAAGAAAAGCAAGTAGTGAAGAGAGAGTAGCTGTCATTTGTTTTAGAAGGCTTTATCCTCCTAAATAATAACAGTAATGGATTTTTAAGAGGGTACCAATTAATGTCTATTCTCTATTTTTTATGAACAAATATATATATAGTCTGTATTGTTCATGAAGAACTAGGTGTTTCAATGCTATTGTATTGAGAGTATATTGCTCTGTAATGATAGGGATTGTTGGAAGGAGTGGAAATTTTGGTTTTTCAGGCTCTCGTCTCCTCAGGCCCTGGACTGCACTGGGTGGGTGGTGACCAAATCTTTTGATCCTTAACATCTGAGCCTTGGAAAGATTTGGTTTTTCTGACTGATGAAGAACCAAGGGAATATAAATATTGGAAGAGCTCTCACACAAAGTGTTATTAGAAAGGAATGGAGAACCGTAGATTTTTGGCTTCATGAATTACAACAGAACATTGGAACTGATGCCGGGTGAAAGTCCTTGGAGGCGTGGAAAGATAACTATCAGGCAGGGATAGCCAGCAATGGATTTTACACATGCCTGGGTGAGAATTTTTTTCTCTATTTTAACAACACAGAGCCAAGTATTGCTTTTTTTCTTTGTATACATTTATTTTTAATGTTTAAATACTTTTACATGTCTTTCATTAAAAATTATAAACTTTTTTCCATTTTCGATTGTATTTTTAGAGAATTTGAAGTCTTCTGAAGATGTATTCTCTGTCTTTCTAGATTATGTCCTCCAGTGTATTAATATGTTTGTATTTTAGATTCAAGCACATATCAAGTTTTCCCTATTATCTAAAATTAAATTCCTGCATCTTTTTACAAGCTGAAAGTAAGCCTGTAGTTTTTGTATAACAGTATGATGTTTGGATTGAAAAATCTTTACCGACAGTTTCTTCCTCATGACTGTAAGACTGCCTTACATACTTTTCTGGATTTAGTATATTTAAGTATGGATGCAAGAAATGATCTAAATAAATGAACTTGTACAGAATTAAGAAATTTTGGAATTACCTGGAATCATTGCAACAATGAAAAGACTTCTTATGAGATACCCAGATGAGCTTCAAACCCCTTGTCACTGGTTGTCTGTGTAAGGGAGAAATTTGGGCTGAACGCATCCTGACTGGATTGCCGTCCTTTCCCCAGGAGAGGAGGGAGAATTCCATGGAGCCCTACAGACAACATATGACCCGTCAGAGAACATATGGTCCCTGTGACTAGCCCAAGCCTACAGTCTAGCTGCTCCATTTTAGATCCACTGAAGCTTCTTGACATTGTGGACTGAAAAAGTGATATAGGTGTGTGAACTGTGTTCCGTTCAGTATCCCACCATGAGAAACTGAGGTGTGCACGGCTGTAATAGAGACGCATTTGTTAGCAGCGTTTTAGAAACACACCTGTTGTCTCCAGCACACTTCTGTTCCCAAAAGCGGATGAGGGCTGCCTGTCCGTCTTTTTGTTTCATCTCCACGCTGTAAGAATTTTAAAAGAGCTCAAAATGGAAGACAGACCCGTTTCTCTACATTCTCAGCCCAACACTCCCCAATGTAAGGTATATGTAAAGCACTTGTTTAGAAAACAAGGGGGCCACCCAAAGGAAAGCCCTAAACCTCTGTGAGATGTGGGAAAGACTTTATTAATGGATGGAGGAAAACTGGCAAGGAACCAACGAGAACTCAGAGGTGGGTGATGTGTTAAACAGGGAAATGGCTTGGGACCCTTCCATGGATCTACTCCAGGTGATTCCAGCAGTTGTTGGGATGTGTTCCCTTATCTCAAAGTCCTTCATGGCACTGCACAGAGATCAGAGTGTGCACATATACAGATGAGTTTTTGATTGAGTTCCAGGGGGAAGGAAGTTTCACCTTGCCCTCACCCTGAGGGGACACGTGATTCTATCAGGCTCTGTGGAACAGCAGCCTGGCGATCCCTTTGCCACTCATCAAGTCCAACCCCCTGCTGAGTGCAGGAACACAAACCAAAGGATATCTACCAGGCAGCTGTCAAAATTTCTCTTCATTGCCTCCACTGTTGGAGCACTCACCACCTCTCGAGGTCATTGGTTTCCCTGCTATTCAACCAAAATCTGGCTTCTTGTAATATGTGCCCATGGTTGTGAGTCCTGCACTTTGGGTTGATCGAGAACAGGTCCTGATCCTCCTCTGAATGAGAGCCTTTCAAGTTTTTGAAAAGTGCTGTCAGATCTCCCCTCAGTGTTCTTTTCTCAAGCCTAAAGAAGCTCAGGGTTTTTTTTCAGTTCTTCTTCGTGGCCTCTGTGAATGCACACTAATGGGTTAAGTCTGCGCATGTGCAGAGGCCTCGGATATCTGGAGCTAACAAGATCGTTAGGACTGCCTCTCCGACCCCACGTGGTTCGCCCATCCTAGCAATTAACTTAGTTCCTTTTCTTTCTGTTGCTGCAAGGAGGTCTCTTTTGACGGAGCTCTCTTCTTTTCATTGTGAGAAACAACAAACAGAATTGTAGATCAGTAGTTCTTCAGTCAATTGTTTGTATTGTTCTTTCATTTTCTCCTTGTTGAAAAAAGAACTTTAGACTGTTCAGGTTACTTAGAAACTATCCGCCCCCCTGTTCCCCCCATTTCCCCCTTTTATGGCCCCTAAAGACTCATTTAAAACTTGTCCTTCCTGTGATAAGAAGATCCTGACTTTGGACGGACACAGACTTTGCCTGATCTGTTTAGGAGAATCTCGTCGTCCTGCAACTTGCAACCACTGCAGAAACTTCACCAGACAGGTGCTTAAACTCAGAAAACTTAGACTGAGGTCTGCTCTCAGGGAGAAGTCTCTTAGACCTCCCACTATGGACACTCCAGCGTCCGCTCAGCGCTCTACGGCCTCCATTCTCCCCATGCCCTCACAATCTCCAAGATCTAAAGTGCTGAAGGGAAATTCAAGCGCCCAGGGGACTGCACTTTCTAAACCAAAGGCAAAATTGTCTCAATCCAAAAAGACCAAGTCATTGTCTCCAGTATGCCAGCCCTCTCTTTTGCGCACGTCTCTCATCCCTCTGACTGAGGAAACCTGGTACAGGGCATACAGGCTGAACCGCCATCCTCTCTACTGTCGGTACCACCTCCTCCCACTGCATTGGAGGCAGGGATGGGACCCTCGCCAGTACCAGCCACTCCTAGATCGCTGTCACATTCGCGATCTCCGACTGCCTCTCAGTCTCCTCCTAGAGACCCCTCTGCTGGCAGAAAGAAGGGACACCATATCGAGGCCTCTGATTCGTCTGCCTCTCGGTCTGGCTCTCCTATAGACCCCTCTGCTGGCAGAAAGAAAAAGAGGAAGAGGCACCATATCTAGGCTTCTGATTCCAATGATAGCCAGTCTCCTAGGCATTCAGGGCTAAATGGCTACCATGGCTCCAGGGCTTGTAAATATCAGCCCAAACAATGCAGGGAGCGTGGTCGGCATCATCTAGTATAGCATCAATCCAAACAAATTCGTCATTGGTACTGTGACTGGGACAGATACTATGGTCCCCAGATGGACTTGGATCTTCCAGATTCATCAGATTCTTCTAGTTCCTCCTCGCCCTCCTCTTCTGGTAGCAAGACTCCTCTTTGGCGTACACCCCCCGGTACCCCAACACCACAAGAAGCATCGTCGACGGCTCTCCCCTGTACCCAGGAAACATGGTACCAGGAAGAGTCCAGTACCGAGGCACAAGTCTTCAACTAAGGCTTCAAACAAGCAGGCTCCTCTCTGACATTGCACTGCTCCTGCTGCTCTTCCTGGTACCGACCATCGTGGTACCGATCCTTCTGGTACCATGCACGGTACCAAGCGAGCTTCCCATTCTGTGCCAGCTCCTTCTGATACCCCTAAACAGAATCATCACCAATAACACCCAAGTATCAAATGTGACTTGGATTCTTCCCATTCCTCGGTGTCTGAAGATTCCGATGCAGATTCCTCTCCGTCTTTAGCACCATTAGAACCAGCTCCTAAGATAAATACCCCAGATTCCGAGATTGATGATGCCAATCCTCCTGCTGACTTTTCAACCTATTCTGCCATGATCCAACACATTGCTAAGGCTTTAGATTTAACAGCACAACAGCCTCCTCAGCTCGAGACGGATAAGGTTTATGAGGACATTGACCAAGAGTCCTCACCTCCTTTTCGTCTCTCCTTCATTCCATCTCTGTTTCGAGTCATGAAGGGTCTTGGGACAAGCTCTTCTCGATCACCCAGATGTCCAGGAGGGTACAAAATTTATACAAGATACATGGCACAGATGTTGATTTCCTGGGTAAACATCCCCCTCCCAATTCTATTGTGGCGTTTGTGACTCAAGCTCGCTCCCGCACAAAGTCCATAGTCACTCCTACCAATAAAGAGGGGCGCAAACTGAACATACTCGGATGCCGGGTGTATTTGCTTGCCTCCTTTACCCTAAGAACCCCCAACTATATGGCAGCCATGAGCACATACCAAAAGCGTTTGTGGTCCAAGGCCCTTCCTTTCCTACAACTAGTCCCTTCAGACTCTAGGACACGGGCTATATCTATACATCAAGAAGGTATGGCTCTGGTGAAACAAGAATGGTGACACCCAGACACATTATAGAATCTGCATCTAAACATCTAATGACAGGTGTGACAATCGGGAGTTGCATGTGGCTTCGTTCAGCTAACATCACAGATGACTAAATAAAGGATGGACTTACCTTTTGATGGTTGCGGTCTTTTTGATCCCTAAATGGATGATCAACTGGACAATCTGCACAAAATGAAGAAAATGAAGAAAATGGCAAGAGCATATAATTCACAGCAGTACTAGCAGTACTACAAGCCCCAATGTTACCTTGCAAAAATAAATCCATCATCTTCTTAAAAAATCAGCCATCTCTTCCATCCACATCGATCCAAACGACCCTGGTTTCCTCTCCAGGTAATTTATGGATCCGCAAAAGGACGATTCCTTTTACCCAATATTAGACCTCCAGGATCTCAACCACTTTGTTGCCTACCATCGTTTCCATATGGTTACCCTGGAACAGGTTCTTCCCCTCATTCAGAAAGGAAACTGGTTCACTTTAATAGACTTAAGCGACACCAATTTTCATACAGTGGTGCCTCGCTTAACGAGGATAATCCGTTCCAGCGAAATCGCTGTAGAGCGAAATCCTCATTAAGCAAAATAAAAAAGCCAATTGAAACGCATTGAAAACCTATTCAATGTGTTCCAATGGGCTTAAAAACTCACTGTACAGCGATCCTCCATAGAATGGCCATTTTCCATGCCTGTAAAGTGAGGAATCCGTCCTAAAGCACAGCAGGGAGCCATTTTGAGAGCTCGGTGGCCATTTTGAAAACCCAACAATCAGCTGTTTTGATCGTCATAATGCAAAGAATCAGTTCCCGAAGCAGGGAACGGATCTTTGCAAAGCGAAAAAAAATCCATTTAAAACATTGTTTTGCGATCGCAACTGCGATTGCAAAAACATCATCATGAAGCGGATTCATCGTTATACGGGGTAATCGTTAAGCGGGGCACGACTGTATACCGATGTGTTTCAGTATCTCTCTGATCCTAAATGTATTTTTCCTTGTGGAAAGCTATGTCTACCCTGGAAGAGCCAACTTCTTTTCTGATCCCTCAAGGTTACGAGGTCTGGAGATTTTTTGTGCGAGAGCTGAAGAAGGGGTTAAAGCACTGGGGTGCTGCAACCTGACAGGGGGACTACTGCCTGATTAGGAACCTCTTTTTTATTTGAAGGTGATGTGAAACATCATTTTATTTACATTAGCCATAGGTCTTAGAAAGATAAATAAACGAAAGCATCCTTCAGTCTAGAGAGACTATGGTAATGCTGAGATGGACAAGGGGGTGAAATTGCAATACAATGTTGCAACAGGTGGGTTTCAAAAAAGGAGCAGACATTGGAAAAGTATACTTCTCAAACCTCGGAGGGTGCAGGAGAGGCATCTGTGCAGGTAGCAGTCCTGATTGAACAGAACAACTCCCAAAACAAACACACACACATAAGCACAAACGCATACACACAGAGAGACAGAGAGAGAGAGACAGACAGACAGACAGACAGACAGACAGACAGACAGACAGACAGACAGACAGACAGACAGACAGACAGACAGACAGACAGACAGACAGACAGACAGACAGACAGACAGACAGACAGACAGACAGACAGACAGACAGACAGACAGACAGACAGACAGACAGA